TAATTTATGGGCGCACATCAACGTGCTAGCATGAGAGCCATTAATCAGGACGTGACATTCTGCTGTTACGCTAAAGACGCCCGCTACGTGTCTGATGAGGAACTATGGGATTGGAGCAGATGATGGAACTTCACACTGCTGCGCTGCACATCGATTCACCTCACAGACCTTAATAACCAATCACAGAACGCTGTGGTAGTAAGTGAAGTCAGTGTTCCCCATAGACTTCCATTGGTTTTCACTGATATTTAAGTCTTTTTTCTTTATAATGTACATCAGAATCAAATGCGCTGTTGTTTTCTGAAGAGCATTATCTTCTGTGATATGATGCATTTTTCTTTTGAAAAGTCTTTGTTTTGATGCTAGCATCTCTATGGGAATCCCTACGTAATGTTAGCACCAAGCTAACCAAGCTTATTCTCAGTGCTATTGATGGAGCTTCTTAGCCTTTTAGCTATCTGAGCGGTCTGCAGAGATGGTCAGTATGGAGCTCGTTAAACTAAACCACATTCTTACACAGCGAATGTTTAGTATGTTTTCAGATATTTTACTTCATATAGGTGCAGTTATGAGGTCCTCAGTTCTCCTCAGCGTTTCTGTTCTATCTGCAGTGTTTGAGAACATGTTTACATTGTGTCCATAGACAGTCATTCATTCTACAGAGCAGAGAGGGAGAACCAGTATGTCGGCCGGTATGTATATTGTGGTCTGTATGTGTCGTGCTGAGAAATGCCCTCATTTTCAGATTTTCTGTTTCCTGTTTTCTACCGTCTAAAGAAACCAGTGGCGTGTTGTTCCTGGTCGCGATGCTCTTTCGGCGTATAAACAGGAGAAACTCTTCCACTCACACAGTCACAGTCTGGGAGCTTCAAGGCTTTTCTGAGCAGCTTATCTATAAATAATCAGGCTCCAGTGGTGCGCCGCCTCATCCCGTACCCTCTGCACAAATACCCAGCGGTCATTAGTTCCACCTGCTGGGTCAGGATAAGAGAGGATGAGGTGAAGAGACAGACGAGCTGGACTGTCTCCAAACTGACTGATGGAGCTCAACTCTGATTTATGTTCAGGATGGATAGTAGTTTCCACCAGGGGGCCCTCTCTGTGTGCTAAGAGAACAGGTAACTCAATACTTCCTTCTCAACTCAAATCCTCCAACTCAAGACCTCTCAACATCTTTACCTCAACCCACCTCAACACTTCCAGTCCCATCCCAACACCTCCAACCCAACTTAACATTTTTAACCTAATTCAACACCTCCAAATCAAACTTAACACCTCTGAGTGCAGATCAACACCACTAACCTCAGATCAACACCACTAACCTCAGATCAACACCTCTGACCGCAGATCAACACCACTAACCTCAGATCAACACCTCTGATCGCAGATCAACACCTCTAACTTCAGATCAACACCACTAACACAACTCCAGACCTTCAACCCAACTAAATATCTCCAACCTCAATAAATACCTCCAACCCCAACTCAACCTCACCAATGACAACTCAACAATTCCAACCCAAAGTCAACATCTAGACCTACAAACCAACTCAGTACATCCAACCGCAGCGCAGCACCTCAAACCACATGTCAACGTTTCTAACCCCAAATCAACACGTCTAACCCAACTCAGAACCTGCACCTCCAACCCAGCACCTCCAACCCAGCATCTCCAAACCAAACTCAACACCTCCAACCCAGCACCTCCAACCCAGCATCTCCAAACCAAACTCAACACCTCCAACTCAGCACCTGCAACGTAATTCACCACCTTTACCCCAACTCAATACATCCAACTCAACACCTACAACCCCAACTCAACACTTCCAACTCAACACCTACAACCCCAAATAAACACCTCTAACCCAACTCAACACCTACAACCCAAAGTAAACATCTCAACAAACCCAACAAAATAACTCCAACCCCAACATTGCCAACCCTAACTCAAGACATCCCACTTGACACCTTGAAATCAACTCAACACATTCAACTCAGCACCTGCAACTTAATTCACCACTTTTACCCCAGTTCAATACTTCCAACTCAACTCAACACCTACAACCCCAACCAAACCCTTCCAAACCAAGTCAACACCAACAACCCCAACTCAACACTTCCAACCCAACTCAACACTTTCAATTCAACACCTGCAACTCAACATCTGCAACACCAACTCAACATCTTCAACCCAAACTCAACACTTCCAGTTCCACACAGTGTCCCCAGTGCTCTTCACTGATCGTATGCTTCCCTGACCTCAGATAAACTCGATTTTATATCAGAGAAAGTGAAGTGAGAGAGACCAAATGAAATGAATGAACACTGTGTTCAGGTGACGCTTGACCGGAGTCGTCACCTGTTAATTCACCGCTTCATCATTTCTCCGCTCGCTGCTTTTCATACAATTACCTCACCGCGCAGAAGACCTCTCGAATTTGGAGTGCAATAAATTATCGCCACTTAATTAAACGCTGCGCCGTGCGGAGGCAGGCAGGTGTGAGTCCAAGTCTGCCTCTCTCACCAAGAAGAGTTTTTGTTCTTTATGATGGAAGGTCCCCCCGCTAATTGGATTCCTTCCTGCCTTTCTGCAGAAAACATTTTGAATATGTAAATATCTAAACAAATGAATAGAATAAAATGAGAATGGAGAGTGGGCGAGCGAGAGAGCGAGAAAATGAACCTCTGTAAGAGAGAAGGTGCCGTTTCCCCCTCAGCTCTGCCTCGGCTGGTAAATTGCTCTCCGAAATAGACTGAATTTCCAGCAGATGAGCTCAAACCAGAAACCTCGGTTCCAGCGGAGATGACAGCATGACTTCATTCACGCTGGGGATGATGGGAAGGGAAGGGGAGGTGTTCCCCCAGCTGCCATCGATCAGCCGGGACGTGTTTGGACTCTGAAGTTTGCTTCTTTAGTTTTAGCACTGGAGCTACGAGGCTAATGCAGCTAACAAGCAATAAGAGCTAACTCCCTACCAATTAGCATGGTGCTAACTGAAAATCATCACTGCTCTCAGAGTGTGGAGATGTTCAGGATCTCTAATAGCCTTGATGATGTGGTTTCTATGAAGCTCATTCCTGCCAGGCTGTTCTGCCTCCTTCTGCCTCTGAGCAGTGTGTAAAAATACTGACTTAGTGTCTTAAAATAGTGACTTGCTTTCTCGAAATACTGACTTAATGTCTCTAAATAATGACTGTCTCAAGATCAGTCTTGATATCTTGAAATAGTGGCTTACAATCTCAAAATATTGACTTAGTATCTTAAAAGGACTTATTATCTCTAAATATTTACTTAGCATCTCAAAATAATGTCTTATTTTCATGAGGTTTTGAGATACTTAGTCATTTTGAGATAGTAAGCAATTATTTTGGAATAAAAAGTCATAACAATACTTTCTCAGTACATTCTTACTCAATACTAAATCATTATTTTGACATAGTCAATATTTTGAGAAAGTAACATTATTTTGAGATACTAAGTCTGTATTTTGACATAGTAAGTCAAAATCTGAGAAAGTAATTATAACTTTGAGATACTTAGTCGGTATTTTGACATAGTAAGTCAATATTTTGAGAAATGAACTCATTATTTTAAGGAGCTAAGTCAATAATTTGAGAGACTAACTCATCGTTTTGAGATGCTAAGTCAAAATGTTGAGAAAGTGAGTCATAACTTTGAGATATTAAGCCAGTATTTTGACGTGAACATCAGGATCAGGCTTCTACGTCTCTAACACTGTATGAAATACTGTTACCTGTAATCTTGGACTAAAGTATGGACAACAAAAGCCCATCAAACAGTAGCAGAATCGTATGACACTATGTTAATGTTTACCTGCTGATTAGTTTGTCTGATGCTGATTGGTGTACACAGGCTTTGGTTACTTGTTAGCTGCATTAGCCTCGTAGCTACTAAAGAAGCTCACTCCAGGTGTACGTAAGGGGGAAACTCTGTTAATACGATTGTGCACTGAACTGTCGCTTCCATGCAGGAGCAGTTTGGCGTTCACACTGTCTGATAGGAAACTTGTCACATTTCCTGAGCGGTTACCGTCTGCTGTCCAGTACAAAGCCAAACATTTTCATATGCGCCGGCGTGTGATGGAGTGATCTCCACTGCTTAAATATTGAACAGTGAATAAATCAGGAGCCTATTATCAGAGCGGCTGAGGTCTCTGCTGCAGGACCAGGCTGAGACGCTGCGGCGGAGAATGAGAAATGACCACAGGGAAACGCTCCGGCAGGAAGTTACACGCGCTTGCATCATGCTGGCAGAGCAGGTGGAGAGCTTTGACAAACTGTGAAATTTCACTTTCCCCCAGAAAACAGCGTCTCATCTCCCTGAGTGAGTCAGAGAGGAAAGTTTGGGAAGCTGAGGCTCTTTAATGATGAGGAAAGAACCTGAACGAGGGTGAAAGATTAAAGCTGCAGGCTGACCTGCAGTAACCCCTGACCCAGCGAAGGGAGACGAGCCACACGCCACCTGAACGACTGCAGACTGCAGGAACAGCACTCCACTTCACTTCACCTGGAGTGGGCGGGGCTAAACTGCTGTAGACTGAATGGGTGGAGCTAAACTGCTGTAGGCTAAATGGGTGGGGCTAAACTGCTGTATGGGTGGAGCTAAACTGCTGTACGCTGAATGGGTGGGGCTAAACTGCTGTAGACTGAATGGGTGGGGATAAACTGCTGTAGACTGAATGGGTGGGGCTAAACTGCTGTATGGGTGGGGCTAAACTGCTGTAGACTGAACGGGTGGGGCTAAACTGCGGTATGGGTGGAGCTAAACTGCTGTACGCTGAATGGGTGGGGCTAAACTGCTGTAGACTGAATGGGTGGGGATAAACTGCTGTATGGGTGGAGCTAAACTGCTCTAGGCTGAATGGGTGGGGCTAAACTGCTGTATGGGTGGAGCTAAACTGCTCTAGGCAGTCACATGGAAACAACACTGGTGAATTTCAAACAGGTGCTGTTTGCAGGTGAGTTTCCGTACATGGACTATGAACGTGTACAGTATGAACCACAAAGGGCACCACAGAGTAAACACAGCCCAGTGTGCAGTAACTGTGGCCGTTGTTTACAGCAGCGTGGACGAGACTGTACTGGGGAAGGTTTCCATCTCCGGCTCTGCTGCTGCTGCTCTCCGCTGTGTCTCTGTGCATGTTAATTACTCCGCTGCCGGACCTCCATTATCGACACTAATTGTCTCAGCAGCAGCACCGGATCAATCCCAGCCAGGAGGAAGTTCATCACCGAGAATAAAACACTGCGGAGCGGAGCTGGAAGTGTCTAATTGGACTAAAACAGGAGATAAGGAACAGCAGCGCGAGAGCACAGATCAACAGAGCGTCGAACAGAAGAGCTGTGAGTCACTGAGTGGCTTCGACGGCAGATGGAAAAACACAACATTTATTAATACGTATGCACTCCCTGTCCACTTTATTAGAAACCCCCACTTTGTAGGAGCATAATAAGGTGGCCAGTCAGTCAAAGAACAAAGAATGTTTCGAAATAAAGTGGCCACTGAGTCAAAAAACAAGGGGTGTTTCTAATAAAGTGGCCATTTAGTCAAAGAACAAGGGGTGTTTCTAATAAAGTGGCCATTTAGTCAAAGAACAAGGGGTGTTTCTAATAAAGTGGCCCGTTGGAGGAAGAACAAGGGGTGTTTCTAATAAAGTGGCCATTTAGTCAAAAAACAAGGGGTGTTTATAATAAAGTGGCCAGTTTGTGGAAGAACAAAGTGCTGTTTGTAATAAAGTGGCTGTTTAGTCAAAGAACAAGGGGTGTTTCTGATAAAGTGGCCATTAAGTCAAAGAACAAGGGGTGTTTATAATAAAGTGGCTGATTAGAGGAAGAACAAGGGGTGTTTCTACTAAAGTGGCCAGTTAGTCGAAGAACAAGGGGTGTTTCTAATAAAGTGACCAGTTAGTCGAAGAACAAGGGGTGTTTCTAATAAATTGTCCAGTGAGTGGAACTGTATGAGGCGCTGTACCAGCAGTGTCCAGCAGAGGGGGCAGCCGAGTCTCGTGCAGAAAGTGATGGAAATGGCCGGTTCTGCGTTACTACACTTTGGAGCGCTGCGGAACCGTTTTGTCAGTGTAATTTTGAGCACAGTGCCGCCGCAGCCCTTCACATCGTTCTCTCTGATTAAAAGAACCTTGAGGGCTGGTGACAGAGGACGACACACTGAGGCAGAACGGCTTAATTCAGAGGGAGAATTTAAAGACCTGTCATCTGAGGTCATGAATCGAAGGACACGTTGAAAGCCATTAAAACTCCTCTGTCATTCTCAGAACTTCAGCCTAAAAGCAGAGTGGAGAGGGTTATGAATATAAACATGAGCAGAACCCATACTGGCCTCCTTTTGGACCTTCAGAGAAAACGTCCTTCTGCCTTCAGAACTTCAACAGTACTTCAGATTTGAAATGAAATGACTCTGGCTTAGGCTCTCTTACAAACACTGGAGCCCTTTGTGGAAAACTGCAGTTAAGAGATGTTTGTAGACGTATCGGTTTTTTCCTTTGAGACTATAAACTGGTTAATCGGTTAGCACCATGCTAATTGGTGGGATAAAAGCTTTCATTGAGCTTTAGCTAAATTAGCCTCTAAAACTAAGAAACAAACCACAGACACCAAACAAGTCTTGGCCGATCGTCTACATGTGGTGTGTTTTGGACAGTGAATACATGAGGATACTACTTTCAGTGTTTTTGTGGGGGAATGGTTAATATTTCTGTGTTACTTCTGTCTTAACCAGAGATCTTCATACCGTTCTGAAGTGACTGAGCCCCTTGAGTGCATATCTGAAGGGTTATGATATGAGTGTGTGTGCAGTGTTGGAGTAAACGAGTGTAAAACGTAATAAACCCCTTCGCTCACAGTGAAACAGTGACTGAGAGTGAACACAGTAGAGCTGCTCTAAGTTCAGCTTGTGCTGGTGTAATACTGTATATGACCACCAGGTGGCAGCACAGTCTAATACAGGACTCAGGGTTTAGAAGGCAAGTCAACAGATAGAAACCTGTTCTATCACTTTATTCCACCATACGTCACAGGGGGTTCTTTGAGTGATGGCATGGAAAGAACCACTTTCGGTTCCCTAAAGAACCGTGTTAAAAAAGGAGTACAGCTTTTTAAAGCAGGGGTGCCCAAACTTTTGATCTCTGTGTGATGTGCGGTGGGCCGAGGACCAAAATGAGGAAACAATATACAAATAAAGAAAGTAGAACTTAAATTAAATCAGTTTACATCATTTATTAAATTAATATCAGCATTTTTTATTACCAAAACACTTAAAAACACAAAATTAGAATTAATGTAAATATATATAAACATGTTTGTCCTCTCACTGACTGAGGGACGCAGTCTGGGTCACTTCCATTTCGGCCAGCGTTGGACAGCTAAAGGTTTAAAGAACCTTCACATAATGTAACAGTTCTACACCAATTTAAGGGTTCTTCTTAGAACCCTTCCTAGAACAATGTAAGGGTTCTTCCTGGAACCGTTACATTAATGTGTATAAGGTTCTTTCTGGAAACTTTAAAACATGTAAAAGCTCCAGGAAGAACCGTCACATAATATCAAAGTTTTATTCTAATTTCAGGGTTCTTCCTGGAACCTTTACGTTATGTGGAGGTTCTCTAAATATTAAAAAAAAGCTTCTTCACACTTACAAATCTCATTTACAAGAACCATAGAGAACCAAAAGTGGTTCTTCTATGGCATTAAGGTAAAGAACCCTTTTTTGTACCTTTATTGTTTATTTTTAAGGTTCTTCTTTGAACATATACATGTTGTAAAAGAACCTAAAGGAACCTACACAAAATGTAAATGTTCCAGAAAGACCCTTCATATAAGAGTTCTATACCAACTTAAGGGTTCGTCCTAGAACCTTTACATTAATGTGTGTAAGGTTCTTCCTAGAACCATTACATAATGTATATTTCCTGGAACGTTGACATTATGTGGAGGTTCTCTAAATGTTAACAATGTTCTTCACACTTACAAATCTCGTTTACAAGAATCCAAAGGTACCAAAAGTGGTTCTATGGCATTAGGCTAAAGAACCCTTTTTTGTACTTTTATTGTTTATTTTTATAAGTTTTTTTCTGGAGCCTTTATATTAACATGTATAAAGTTCTTCCTGGAACCTACACATAATGTAAACATTCCAGGAAGAACCATCACACTACATCAAACGTATTTTCCAATTTAAGGGTTCTTCCTGGAACCTATACATATTGTAAAGGACCCTAAAGGAACTTACACAAAATGTAAATGTTCCAGGGAGACACTTCATGTAGGAGTTCTATACCTATTTACGGGTTCTTCCTAGAACCTTTACATTAATGTGTGTAAGGTTCTTACTGGAACCATTACATAATGTAAAAGCTCCAGGAAGAAACCTTCACATAATTTAAATGCTTTATACCAATTTAAGGGTTCTTTCTGGAACCTTTGTTATATGAAGGTTCTCTAAATGTTAAAAATGTTCTTCACACTTACAAATCACACTTAAAAGAAGGAAACTAAAAGTGGTTCTCATATGGCATTATGCTAAAGAACCCTTTTTTTGTACCTTTATTGTTTATTTTTTAAGGTTCTCCCTGGAGCCTTTATGTTAACATGTGTAAGGTCCTTCCTAGAACCTACATATTATGAAAAGGTTCCAGGAAGAACTATCACACTACATAAAACATCCTTACCAATTTAAGGGATCTTCCTGGAACCTATACATATTGTAAAGGACCTAAAGGAACCTACACAAAATATAAATGTTCCAGGAAAAACCTTCACGCAATATAAGAGTTTTATGCCAATTTAAAGGTTCTCCCTGGAACCATTACATTATGTGGAGGTTCTTTAAACCTTCACACATCTCATTTACAAGAATCAATCAGAACCAAAAGTGGTTCTTCTATGGCATCACGCTACAGAACCCTTTTTTGGTACCTCGAGTTAATAAATGTTATTAAACGTTATTAAACGTTATTAAATGTTAATGAAGGTGAGTAAAGCTGCTGACTGAGGTCTGTAAGGCGGGTATGAGGTGAAGCCTTTACTCTGTTCTGCTGTCTGCGCATCACAGTGTGAACAGATCTGGAGAACAAACTGATTTTAATGAGTTTAGAAACTTCTTCTTCCAATGTTCTCTCAGTTCTCCGTGTCTCTTTCTCCATCTGTTAGAACCCATGCAGAACCTGATTTGTTGACATTTTTTTTTTTTTTGGAACTTATTATTTATTAAAGGAT